GCCTCTCTTAAACTTTACATTAAACGTTAAATCATTTAGGTTTTTGTTTTGAAACATTGTAACTTGAATCTAAAAAGTTAGAATTCTTGCTTCTTCCTAACTTATTGACAAGAACTCTTGCTCTTGCTTGTCTTATCTTGCTCTTGTTCACAAATTTCTTCTGTTGTTCTTGCAGCAAGAAAGAATAAGAAGAAGCTCGTAAAACATTTTTGAAAAAATATGGCGGTTTCGCGTGGGTAATCAGCAAATGTTTATGCATAAATGCTTAATTGTAGATATAGGTAGCTGTTGTTTCAAGGATGCTTTAATTTTTGTGAAACAACGACCAAATTAATGTAAAATAGATTAATTTTAATCTAATACCTACGTATATTTAAAATTCAAGATTTTTGTTATGAATATTTCATAAGTACGCAGTTACAAGTGCTGAAAAGCGCCAAGTAAATTTAAATATTAATGTAATAACTTCTACAAAAACTACCATCCCGTAAGCTCGGTCGAAAACATCATGTAGGTACCGTACGAAGATATAACAAGGAAAAAGTTGTTGATTTGCGATTTTCTGACCGTCATAATTCTATCTAGAATGACATGTATGTGGATATATACGATATAATAATCCCATTCATACTTTCTCTGAATGCCAAGTGGACGCAACATTTCAGGCAGGTGCCTTTTTAGGTATAGTATTACATGAAAAATTTTACTAGCAATTCACTTTCATACATGTATTATAGCCTGTGGCGGTTTAGATCAGTGACATTCGGTGGCTGAGAATTGATCATAGGTCAATCAACACATTTACGTAGAATATTTGCCTAGATGTTAATAATTTTTATAAATCATAATCATCATCATAAGGCCATTGGACACGCACCTACACTTTTTCCAATTCTGAGCTAATCTTCGCATTTCTCTAAAAATAGAACATCCGATATCTTTTAATATTTGTGAACAGTAACCTAATCTATTTTAGGTATCTAGGGAGTCAGATAAGTCAGGACGGAAGGAGTAGTAGGGATATAAAGTAAACGATAGCGTAGGGTCGAGTCGCCTTCAATAAAAAGATGTCATTTCTATGCTAGCGAAAGTTAATTTATAAATTCGAAAAAGATTGTTAAAAGTGTATGTTTGGAGCACGACGCTGTACGGATGCGAAACATGAACGGTGGGTGCGACGGAAAAGAAAAGGTTAGAAGCGTTCGCAATGTGGTGTTACAGGCGAATGATGAGGATACAGTGGATAATGAAGGTTAGAAATGAAGACATATTAGAAAGAATAGGAGAACTGAGGACTCTGCAGAACTCAATCAGAGATAGGCGGGATAGGTTGGTAGGACACCTTCTCAGCCATGAAGGTCTAGTCAGAGACATATTAGAGGTAGGAACGGGAGTTAGAAAGGGTAGAAGTAGATCTAGATTACATTATTGTTTGCAAATAGTTAAGGATGTGGGTTGTTCTAGTTTTAGGGAAATGCGAAGATTAGCTCAGGATAGGAAAGAGCGGAGGTGCGTGTCCAAAAAGTCTTAGGGCTGATGACCTTATTGATGATGAACCTAATCTAGGTCTATCTCTACTCCTGTTAAGTTCTGTTTCTACTTCTGATATGTCTCTAACTAGCCCTTCACGCCTGTCGTACCAACCTATTTCGCTTATTTCTTATCGACTTCCATAGCGACCTTTGTCCGTCTATTCTTTTTAATTTAAACAAAATAGATTAAACATCGATCTGTAGTTTGGAATTGTGGAAGAAATTGGTAATATCCAAAACATAGTCATTCACTTTTTTCTGCCTTTATTTCGTTCGTGTCATCTTTCTCTTCTCAACCAGCGCTCACCAATTCCTAAAAGAGGGTCTTCCCTCCTACCCTCCGGTTTTACACTACATTGTGTGGTAAAAAGACTGCCGATCCACCGGGTACCGGGTAATTGCCTCCATTTTTTTCTGATTTTTCTTTATGAATTTCTGTGGAGTACTGTACCGAATGACGGACAAGAACGTTAATCAGTCTCAAAAGCTTCAGTAGTGTAGAAAAAAGTGCTCGTTTTATAACCTGCTGTCTCCGCATATGTTTATGTAGTCGTCATACTATAATGGAAACACTCTACCCCCTTTTACTAAATCAATAACTATCAGTTTCATAGAATAGCGGATGTGGTTAATTAGTCGATCTGATGCATAATTAAAATCCAATTTTCTGGTTGCTAAAACACACACGTATGCATGCATATGTATGGGCTTTATATATATTATTATACATACATACGAAGCTTTCAAACTACATAAATTTGTACCTGTCTATGCGTTTCCTTTTTATGACGCTTTCGGACACTATCATTAGGTGCAAACATGTCACTAATTAAATACAGGAGACATACATATGTTAACAGGAAAAACGGGAATAGAAGTTATCGTTAGGTTTGATATAAAATTCTCCCTTTTTATACATATTTATGTATCGTAATTTTATTCCGTAGAGTAGTCGCATCATATGTGACCATATAATCCTGTAGCAAGGAACTCTGTCCAGTTAAAGGTGGAGTTACACGGCATAGTGCCCTAAAAAAAAAAAAATTTTGGGTGTTTCATTCCCACCAGCTAGTATTGCTGGTGGGCGGGCAGTCCCTCCGGACTATGCCGGAAGGTAGGGCGGAAGGCCCTCTTCAGCCTGCTTTCAGGAATCGTGGGAATGGGTGGGTGGTGGTTCGGGTGAGAAAGATGAGACGGACGAAATGAAGACAGAAGAGAGTGAAAGATTATCTGTGGAATATTACTGCCTCAGCATTTACCTATGTGATCCAAGGAAACCACAGAAAAACTTGGACCAAGGCAGAGGGACCCGGAATCGAACCGGCGTCCTCCCGAATACTAAGCAATGATCTAGACCTCTAGGCCATGCCGCTCATATGTGAGGAAATCTGTGCAGTTAAAGGTGGAGTTACACGGCACAGTGCCCTACGGACGGCCTGTGTCTGGTTCGCTCTGTTGGGGACATTTTGAAAATGTTGCGCCCTATAATATATGTATTAACTGGCAGTTATTTATTTCAGAAAAAGAAGTTAAAGAAGCGGTGGTGGAATAACTGAATTGAATTGAAATTTCGTCGGACAAACGGAAAACAAAAGCTAAAGAATGAAGAAGAGGAAGTAAGAAAAGAAGAAGAGGGTGAATAAAAAATGAAACCATTGTAAAACATCAACGTGTAATAAGGTCATGTTGTTTGTAAACAGAATATTTTATTGTAAAATACAAAGGCTACCGTGAGAATACGAAGATGTATTTGCGCGGCGTGGATCCTGCACCCGTGTAATCTCACACGTTTACATAAAATAGTCTAGATCTTGACCATGACCTACAGCGTATTATTAAAGCGGTGTGTTCTGACAGAACGATGATAAAGCTACAAACGTTTGAAATATCATCATCATCATCATAAGGTCGTCAGTCCTAAGACTGGTTGGATACGTACCTCCACTCTTTCCTATCCTGACCTAAACTTCGCATTTCCCTAAAACTAGAATAGCCCACATCCTTAACTATTTGCGAACACTAATCTAATCTAGGTCTACCTCTACCCCTCTTAACTCCTGTTTCTGCCTCTAATATGTCTCTGACTAGACCTTCATGCCTGAGAAGGTGTCCTACCAACCTATCTCGCCTATTTTTTATTGACTTCCATAGAGTCCTCTGTTCTCCTATTCCTTCCAATACTTCTTCGTTTCTAACCTTTTCTACCCACGTTATCCTCATCATGTGCCTATAACACCACATTTCGAACGCTTCTAACCTTTTCTTTTCCGCCGCGCCTACTGTCCATGTTTCGCACCCGTACGCCGTGCTCCAACTATACACCTTTAACAACCTTTTTCGAATTTCTAAATTAACCGTTCGCGAGCATAGAAGTGACTTCTTTTTATTAAAGGCGACACGACCCTGCGCTATCCTCTGCTTTATATCCCTACTACTCCATCCATCCTGACTTATCTGACTTCCTAGGTATCTAAAATCAGCTACTTCTTCTAATTTTTCGACTCCTATCTTCTCTACTTTTTCTTCCCTTGCATACCACTATTTTTGTTTTACTTTTATTTATTTTCGTCCAGTACTGATCTGTCAGTACCGCTTCCATTTTATTTAAAGCTCTCTCTAAGTCCTCCTTGCTAGATGCTAATACTGCTATATCATCTGCAAATCTAAGCATACTAATCTTTTTGAGATATGGCTGATGATAGCAATACCTTGGATGGGAACGGTTAGAAATGAGGAGATATTAGAAAGGGTAGGAAAACAATGGGCGCTATGGAGGTCAATAAGAAAAGGAAATACTAGAATGGTAGGACACCTTTTGAAAAATTAAGGGTTAGTCAGAGACACAGTAGGAGCAGGAACTGCAGTAAGAGGGGTGGAGGGAGATATGATATAGGATGTTTTGACTTTAAGGAAATGGGAAGAATGGCTCAGGAGTACAAGGAGTGGTATGCACCTTCAACTAGGCTGCGGACGATGATGGTGATGATGATGAGGACTACAACACAATATTTAAACAAACCAACACCTTCTGTATCCATTTACTATTTGGAAATATTCAATGGTATTGAGTTTTCATGTATTCACTGTTGTGACAAAAGCTGAAGCTTTGTTTTTAAATAATGCGGATGGCAATTGAGTTTCCAGAATTCTAAATCGATGAGAAAAGAAGCCATTTGAACATACGAATCTTGGTCCATCAAGGAACATATACATTTTTCGGGGTACTTATATCTCATAAGTAAGGTCAGTTCGTTTAGGTCGTACCTGAACTCTTCCGGTCGCCGATTATCCCGTACGCTTGATTCATCCGGCCGGAACTTACGCGACGCAAGTTGACGTTTTATGCGTTACATTGTTTTCTGTTTGGGTACCAAGTCTCGTCGGTAGTGTCCGCGCGGAATCGAGCGACGTCGGTAGCGGGCGGGCAGCTTCCGACCAACTGGTGTAGCAGCAAGCTTTTCGCTTGCTGGTGCCGGGAGCTTTCGTTCCTAGTCCCGGCTGTCGAACGGATCTGACGGACTACCTACCGGCCGATCGCGGAAAATCGACGCGTAACGGCGCTGTTTGTTTTCCATCGCGTTATTACACGACTCGCTCGTACTTACACATATTATATTGATGCAACAGCTTAAACTACAAATAAACTATTACTAGGTATGAATTAATGTATCTTAAAAGAAATACTTATGTTTTTTATGTGTATATAGTAAGTGGTGAAGTTTCTAAGATGAACCGTTTAATGTGACATCTAAGCAATACGATGACGATATCAAACGTGTAGGACAATTTTTTTCTGGATCAAGATATTGCCCTCGGCGAGGTGTGAGTGTGTAGTATGTGAAGTACGCGATAAGTGATGAAACTTTTTTAAAAGATAAAATATGTTTGTCGGAAAACGAAAAATGGAGTTAGTTGTGTTAGGGACGTGCTTGACATTGTTCTTTAGTGGGACAGTTCTCGGAATTATTGACGGAGAGCCTGGTATGTTTCCGAAAGGATTCTTATTTATATATTAAATAAGCATTCTGAATATAGTGTAAAAACTATTTTGTTACATATGCAAATGTAGATATACAAATAATAATAATTAATGAAATGGTGGCGTTTTACGAGTGAGCTAATTTTATAATGAGGCGCGGACCCATTTAAATTAATAAAGTGGCCCTTCAATTAAGACCCCGCTGCGGACACTGACGTTTTGTATCGCAGTAAATTGCCAACCGACTAATCGGTGATTTACGCTACTGCATCAACTTTATTTACGGCTGTTGCAAATTTCAAATTTATTTACTTTTTATCACTTAGGTATATGTAATATCTATTAACCTTTCTATGCGATATAAAAAAGAACTGATGCGACCCATCATTGAAAACGATGCATGTTTTCCTGTTTTTAACTAAACCAATTAAAAAAATGTAGAACATGAGAAAACTTCTGGTATTTATTTATAGATGCGGTAATATATGTATGTACATCAATGTTTATATAAATACATACGCAACCTTACCATCAATTAGCCAACGAATACGAATGTGTATGTAAGCTGGCCATTAATGTCTAGTGTACACAGTTTATTCAGTTTAATTGCATAGTATCTACCGCCCTTAACTCCCCGGCGTGAAATGGATTCATTCGATTTTACGGGAAACGAAGTAAATGGTGCAGTCGGATAATCTATTAAGACTATCAATTTGCTTTGACGGCCATCTGAATTTTTAAAAGGTAAAGTAAAGAGAATTTTCTGGTTCGTTCTTATAAATCAAACGAAAAACGATATAACATATTGAAGCAATCGTGATTGAGATTCTGGTTTATTGTTTTCTATTCGTATTAGAATTCCTTCTAAATAAATTTTTGTTTTGTTAAGACCTTCATAATAATTATTTATTCATCGTCATTATAAGGTTGACAGTCCTAAGACTGGTTGGACACACACTTCCACTCCTTCCTATCCTGAGCATTTCCCTAAAACCAGTACATCCCACATCCTTGATTATCTGTAAACAGTAATCTAATCTAGGTCTAATTTTACTCCTCTTAACTCCTGTTTCTGCCTTTAATATGTTTCTGACTGGACCTTCTTGGTTGAGAAGGTGTCCTACCAACCTATCTCGCCTATTTCTTATTGACTTCCATAGAGTCCTCTGTTCATCTATTCTTTCTAATATCTCTTCATTTCTAACCTGCCCTATCTACTATCTTTCATTCGCCGATAACACCACATTTCAAACCCTTCTAACCCTTTTTTTCTACCGCGCCCCCATCCATGTTTCGCATTCGTACAGCGCCGTGCTCCAAACATACACCTTTAACAATCTTTTCGAATTTCTAAATTAATCGTTCATGAGCATAGAAGTGACCCTACTACTCCTTCCGTCCTGACTTGTCTGACTTCCTAAATACCTAGAATCAGCCACTTCTTCTAATCTTCCGTCTCCTATCTTTATATTTAAATTCGCTCTTTCCCTAGTTTTTCTTCTGTTACACACCAGTATTTTTGTTTTACATTTATTTATTTTCATACAATACTGTTTTGCCAATACCGCTTCCATTTTATTTAGAGCTATCTCTAATCTATTCTAAATAATACAAATTCTCTTTTAATATTAAATTAAACTAATTATATTCCTAAATATCTAAATACATATATAAAATTAGTTGCTACATACAACACCTGACGTATCTGACTTCCTAAATACCTAAACTCAGCCACTTTTTCTAATCTTTCGTCTCCTACCTTTACATTTGGTCTTCCTATTTTTCTTTCCTTTGCATTCCGGTTTTTTTTCATACAAAACTGTTTTATTTAGTAATGAAATTAATTTATTAGCCTTTTTGTAAACTTAATTTTTTAAGAGCAATTAAAAAACACTTGAAAAACAATCGATAAACTTTAACCCTTATTCCCTTGGCTTACATTATTGGCTGCCTTTTCTTTATCATCGCCTCTCATATTATGATACTGATTAATTACGTATCTATTTACAAGAAATCTCACAAATATTAATAACGTCTAACACTTAAGATTGAAAGATTTCTAAATTTAATTATTTATTGGGGATCTTTTTAAATCAAATCAAAAGCAGAGAGTGTAAAATTGTGTTAAATCCTAAATCTTCAAAAACCGTTAAAAGAGAAGTGAACGAAAACGAATAGTTAAAAAATATTTGCAGAAAAAAATAAACTGAAGAACAATTTGCATTGTTTATTATCAAATCTGGAAGCTTTAACTGCTTGAAATAGATTCATAATGAATTAAACAATAAACAGTACATAGTTTCAAAAGCCAGTCGGCCTTCCTGTATGCAGTGAAGAAGTACCCTGGCCCGGGTCTCCGAATGGGCATCCCCTCGCTTAAAACGCTTAATTGAATAGTAATTAAAGGCAAGTAGACAAGATTTCGAAAAAAGGACCTGAATGGTGGAGATCGCCACTGAACCCGTGGGACTATTTCTTGCGACCTTAAGAATTGTTTGAGAAATACAATATGGAACTAAGAGATATGATTACAATAGAATAAGAGTTAGCCCACTAATTAGATGATTACATTATACCGGTAGAATAACAGTGTAGTATTTAAGTTCCTAGTAAAGTAGAATATGTTCTTTGGATATCAATTTATAATTATTGTTGCGCTTCTGACAGATTTTACGTAAAATCTGACAACATACCTACAATTTGCAACTGTTACTGCAGATTACAGAGGCAAATTGTCAACTTGTTTATCTTTAATTTACGTTTACTTACATATTTAAGACAGGAAGACCATCTTGTATAGAATTTGTCATACGTATGCTCCATGTTTAAAACTGCGAGCACTAATTATGGTGTAAAAATGAAATGAATATTACATAAAACAGGAACTCATTCGGGTTTTAGGTCTTGTGGTATTAACGCCACAAATTTACGAAAAAAAGCGAGGAACTAATATTTGAAAACGTTGATTTAAAAATTAAACGAATAATAAATACTTTATCAAAATTATCGTAGTAAGTAGTAAATTTGGTTTGAAATTTCGAGGAATTTACTAAGTAAGATTCTTGGATCTCGCTAATTTTGGTCCCTAAGTTCTAAGAAATATTACTTTAATATATAATTGTGTTAAACAATTTTGAGGACTAAGTAATTACTTTCAAAACATTTACTTAATATTAGTCCTGTACATTCACATTTTGCAATTATCTAACAAATACTTTGAAAATTGAAATTTTTAAAACTTTACACCCTTTGATTATTATGAGCAATTTATCGCCTTTTGAGAAAGAAAATTTAATTACAAAGCCAGGTGTGCCTATTATAATTTACATTAGGTTATGAATTTAAATATTGGGAATCTCTTTATATCTTAAAGGTAAAAGCAAAAATTAATTTCAGAATATTTTAGCGTTTAACTTTAAGAATTAATCAGGGTGATTATTCATTAGTCATTAAAAAGCAATTTTTGCGAAAATTCCAAGAACAAAGAAATCGTATCATATCATCAATGCGATAATTATTCTCTATTTTATTTTTATCCTTATTAATTACAGTAGAATCCGCTTATAATGACATCGAAGGGGAATAACAAACACGCCGTACTAAGCGGGCTATTTTGGTTAGTTTTTAATTAATAATTTAGTTTAATAGAGAGAAAAACTACAAATAGTATATATTTATTAACAGAAAAAGAAAAATAACGATGAATTGTAATATCAACAGTATACATAATCAGGGTCAGAAAAATGAGCGAAAATGTTATTATTAATCATTTGGGTCACTATAGCCGGATATGATTTTTTAAGAATCAGTCATAATAAACGATATGTCATTATATCCAAACATTCCTATAGAGAATTTAATATAACAACCAAACTTAACACTGCAATTACTTTATATTAAGCGGTTGGTCAATATAGGCGGAATCATAATAAACGAATTCCACCGTAACTTTTATTAGTGACAGTTTATGACGGAATGATGAAGCTAATATTAGCTTTAAAGTATTATAAGCGGCAGATGCATACGGGCAGAGGAATGTCCTTAATTATTAGTACTAGCGACGAAGTTGAAACGGCATTATTAATTTGCAAAAGCATTAGTAGAAGTGTTCGGTCACCAGGTGGCAACAGGGGCAGCTATCATGAATGTGGTCGAATAGAAATTCGCGAGCGTATTATGAATTATAAACAGACCGGAAACAGAATTGACCGAATTTCGTTGTTACATTCTCGTCCAATTTTCGAACAGGACAAACAAGCCTAATTGTGAACAGGCACCAAATAATGGAACGGAATCCGAAACATTCGCACGGGGCACGTAGATAATATGAAGTAATCTCTTACTAATGAACTGGAAAATTGCATACGAAATTTGCAATATTATACTCCCGAAAATAGTTACCGGTAGGCGCGTTGCTGTTGTCGTTCGAATACGACAAGAAATTTCCGATTAATGAGTCAAATTAATTACAGCACGCTTTCAATGTGGAACCCGTTCGATATGCCACGCAGGAACGTGCAATATACGATATGATACGTTACAACACACACACACTATAATAAATGAAGCGATTCGACCTGTGACCACAGATTAACACTAGGGATAAAAAGCGACCGTGAATATTTTAAAAATTTAGCTTAATGAGAAACGTTTAATAACTGAATTTAACAAATTTCTCAACTACAACATTCATTTAAGGTAATCGCAAAATAATTCATCTGAGACGTTTGTAAAGCTAGCATTGTAAAGTAAGCAAAAGTGAATATTTGATATTTTACTGCTAATTTAGTGCCAAAGTTAGAAATTTGGCGCTCTTTTGGGATCGTTAGAAACTCATGCAATGCTAACTTTAAACAAATCTATATATCAAAATCATACAGATTATAAGAACTGGGGTGAAGATAATCATGGATTAGCCTAATTATTGCTCAGTTAGTGCTGATTCTACGACTGCACAAAGAAGAGATAAAAAATACAAATATCAATATTTACATTGCGATCA